TTGCTCTATGCACCACTACCAAATGTTCACTTTCTCATTACTCTATGCATCACTACCAAATGTTCACTTCCTCATTGCTCTATGCATCACTACCAAATGTTCACTTCCTCATTGCTCTATGTACCACTACCAAATGTTCACTTTCTCATTACTCTATGCATCACTGCCAAATGTTCACTTCCTCATTGCTCTATGCATCACAACCAAATGTTCACTCCCTCATTGCTCTATGCACCACTACCATATGTTCACTTCCCCGTTGCTCTATGCATCACTACCAAATGTTCACTTCCTCATTGCTCTATGCATCACTACCAAATGTTCAATTCCTCATTGCTCTATGCACCACCACCAAATGTTCACTTTCTCATTGCTCTGTGCATCAACACCAAATGTTCACTTCCTCATTGCTATATGCATCACTACCAAATGTTCACTCCCTCATTGCTTTATGCATCACTACCAAATGTTAACTTTCTCATTGCTCTATGCATCACTACGAAATGTTCACTTCCTCATTGCTCTATGCATCACTACCAAATGTTCACTTTCTCATTGCTCTATGCATCACTATCAAATGTTAACTTTCTCATTGCTCTATGCATCACTACCAAATGTTCACTTCCTCATTGCTCTATGTATCACTATCAAATTGTGACTTTCTCTTAGAATAGTTGATTACCAAATTACGTGTATAATGTCACTTATTATTAACATCGATCTTCAATAAAAATTGAAAATATTAACAGCAAAATAAATGTGCACGACGTCTTGCTCAAATCCGCAGAACAACAAATTGTGTGCATAATTGTTTTTCTCTAGTGTCTAATGATCGAATCCTTAGTGATGTACTCACCTAAACCTTCATCACGAAGTGGATCACATTCTGCTATAATAAAGAGAGCATTCGGTGATGCAGACAACGCTGACTTGTCTCTTAGCAACGGGTGTCCAAATGAATCATCCCATTCATCGGTAGAATTATAGAAGTAGTTGCTCAACCTTATAAAAAACGTTTTAGTGATGAATTTTACACTGGCTAGAGTGAAAGCAAGTTGCCCCAAGAATTTTGGACATATATGTTTTTTGTTTTTACATTATAAACTACTGTCACTAAATCATAATATGAATCAAGGCATCGACCCAGAAAACTGCACTGTTTACTTACCACCGAATTGTATCCATTTCTAAATAATACCCCTTTTCAAATTCCCTTTGTGATTGGAACTCTCCGTTCATGCGAGTTGGGGGATAAAACAAAATCTGTCAAAATAAGATTATATTTCTTGGATTACAATACAAAAATACACGATAGCAGTTGTGAATATTGACTTATACAACGAAGATAATGCCGAACTTACAATACTAGACAAACACAATCATCAGGACCATCGTCATCGTCTTCAAAGGAACATTTATTCATAAAATGTACTAAATTACAAGTCAATATATTATTAAGTATAAAGTGGTAAATGTATGAATGTAAACCAAGTAAACATATAAAAAGTCATTATGGACAAGCAGTGATCACGTGTTCGGGCGGAGGGGGGAGGTAATTGTATATTTACATATTATATGTACAAGGCTATGGGGGCAAATAGAATTAGAAATTGATTCCAGTTCATTGTTCATTACTGTACATAATGAATTGTTGATGTCCCATGTTTCACAGAAAGTGTGTATATCTTGTTCAAGTTTGTAGTGTTAATATTCCAGCTGTATTCTTGATCGTAGTCTGCTTTTAAAGATTACAAGTGGGTCTACAATTGTCTAGTGCTGCATTTTGTTTCTTCTGCTTAGGTGTATTGTCATCTTAACTGAACTGGTGATGTAAATGAATTGGTAGAGAGCATGTTTGTTAACAAATGTCCTGTACTTAGTTGGTGGGTACGATTTTGTCCGGCTTAATAAGGTGTGCTCTCAGCTGTAAAGGTTGGATTGCCTGACATACAAAAAAAATATGTAATA